TCAGTCATTTTCGACGGTCCCCGGGCGCAGGAAGGGCATTTAGAGAGGCCGAGAATAACAGCAAACACCCGCCGCTGTGATTTGTGTGGGCATCGCGAGGGGGTCTGGGTCGGTCCCCGCTCCTCTTCTGATTGGGACGCCCGACGTGGGTGCGGAAGGAGCGGGTACGAAGCCCAACAACAAGTGCTGCCCAAGCCCGACAGCGGCCTCTGTTGGGCAGGCGGCCTTCTGTGGGACGCGCAGGGACATGCTAATACTATATGTCCTCCTTGGAGGCGCGCGTCCGATCCGAACATATAGTATACCCATCTTGTAGTATCTCGTTTCCCGAGCGGTGTGGCCAGAAAGCGCCCGCCACGACGCATCTACTAGAAGATTTCTCGGTGCGCGCGTCGCCCCTGGGGGGGCGACGCATATCTAATTAGGCATGTTCGGGTGACGCCGATTCTGTTCCAAAGGAGCAGCAACCGCCGCGACGCCGACAGCGAATCCGGTTTCGAAGGAGCAGCAGCTGCTGCTGGGCTTTTGGCCAGCTGTTTCCGTACCCCTGCGAAATGCTTAAGAAATCATGGGTTAAGAAATTCATAGTCTCAGAATTTATATAAAAAATTCTACTACAAAGTCAGGTTTTCCATTGAAGCAATAAGAAGAATCAAGACTCTGGCCGAAACCTTCATAAAAAGCTAGGTTTTCCACTGAAACAATAAGAATAATCAAGACTCTGGCCGAAACCTTAGGTTTTCTGAAGCATCGCCTAGGGTGTACCCCTTCCGGTCCCCCCGGATTCTGAGTTTTGGACACCCGAAATGGGTACCGAAAGAATGGGCACTATGCCCAACAACAAATGTTGTCCCACACCAACAGCGGCCGCTGCTGGACAGGCGGCCTCCTGTCTCGAATGGACACAAGCCGCGGCGGCGTGGACAGCGGATCTTGTTCAAAATGAGCAAGAACTTTGGGGGGCGCAAAGATACGGATACGTGTTGTCCCCGGACCCCTCTTGGGGTGCGTTCTGACCAGAATTTCGAGGCGAATCCAGCGGTGACAACGAGGATTCACCAGGACCAGGAAAGGCCGAAAACGAAGAGGGACAACACGTATCCGTATCTTTTTCTCCCCCGAGAACTGCTGTTGGGCATCCTACCCATTCTTTCCGTGCCCATCTCGGGCGTCCAGATGAGCGGCCGCGGCGACGACGGCGACGACGCGGCCGGCCCCGCCTGCGCGGGGGGCGGCCGCGAGAGTCCGCGGCAGGCTCCACATCTTGCAGCCTCGGCGGGCCCGCCGGCCCGCCTCCTGCCTCCCCCGGGGAGAGGGGGGAGGGGAGGGGGGAGCAAACAGGCCAGGTGCGCTCGCGTCATGTCTGACGCCCTATCTTCAGTGTGGCGCTGGGGGTCAGAGATCGAGCCCGACTTTAGAAGGCGTTCGGTTGTGCTCTCGTGGTCGACGAAAGGCCACGTCAAGTTGCTAGGCAAAGTTCCAAGTGGCGTGGGTGCGCTCGCGTCATGTCTGACGCCCCATCCCTCCGCCCAACCACTTACCATGGCGTAGATCTCCTCCCTACTCGCACAGTCGGCTGTCGTAGCACGGCAGAGCATTGCACGGCACAGCATGGTGCTGACGATCAACGCGGAGCATGACATAGCACGGCGTGGGGACGCCCCAAAGTGGGGGGGGCTACTGCGGCCCCAAACATCAACGAATCGACACCGCATGTGGAATCAATTCCGATGGTTTTTTCTGGGGTGCCATTTTCTAGACTTTGGGGCGTATCGAGAGCAGCCTCGAACGGCATGCGCCGCAATCTACTGCACCGCCCTGATCCTGATTACTTTTCACACTCGACTGATCCCTTACCTATGGCTTCTGATCCGGGCGATGGCGACACACGACTTCCGGGTACCCCTGTCCTGCAATTGTTCAATCAGCATCGGATTCACAGCCCGCTTCATCAAATGGATGGGCTCGAAGACGACGGAGTAAGAGGTGGAGGAAAAGGAGGAGTTGGGGCGTCAACGGGGGAGATCACCATGAGCGCAATCGAGGCATGTTCAAGCAATACTTGCAGCCTCGTCAGCAAGACATCGCACCAATCAAAACTCACGGTGTATCACGAGATGAGCGCCAACAAAGCCTGGATCCGATCAAGCATGATATGCAGATGCTTACCGCTCGGATCGATTTGCTCGGACAAAGTGGTACCAGATCGCCGTCGGCAACTTCAGGAGCAGCGGCAAGTGTCACAACGGAGATAAAACATCATTTTGTGGAACTGGAGAAGCAACTTGCGCACATGATGGGGGACACCGGGGAATGCAAAACGGTCATTGGGGTTTGGGTGATTTCGGAGATTTCGACACGGCGGTACAATTCATCAAACAACAATGGAATCCCTATACTCTCCCGGTGCCTGTCGACTATCTCGTGAAAGGCGACTTCAACACGATTTTCTTCACCAAATCCGGCACCGTGGATGCCCGGGACAACTTTGTGAACGTACTCGGCAGGTCGCAGATTAAGCATAACAGCAATTTTGTTTGGACGCGAGCCGACCAGCCCATCGAGAAGCGCGTGCCCGAGACCTTTTGTTCGGCCTGCGCAGACACTTCTTGGAATGGGGGTACTCGAACGGAGAAGTGCGCGTGGGCACGACAGAATGCGAACTCACAGTTGCTACGGACCCGGTGGTGACAGTGAAAACCATGAACAATGCGATCTAAATATCTTGGAAAGGGCCTTGGGCAAACTGGGGGGGAGCTCACCAATAGTCCAGAAGTGCAGCACCTCACCACTCGAGCAAACGATGCTCTGGGTCGCGCTGCCAAGGGGACTGGGAAGGGCAAAAAAGGAGTTATACCAGAGTGGAGTAGGGACTCGCACGGCGCATTGGCACTACCACCACAGCTAACATAGGCGAATGGGTAACTTATCCATGTTGGCCCGTAACTTGCGGCAAAGTTCCTCGTGGAATGTCGAAGGCATCAACTTGGACCAACCGCACCAACTATACGAGATAGTTAATCACATGCGGAATCTGGATATTGCAGCGCTGTGTCTCCAACAAACACACTGCCGAGGGACGCCGGCCTTTGATTTGGACGGATGTTCCATCATTCTCTCGGGACAAGAAGAAGACGCACGAGAATATGCAGGAGTCGGTTGTATTATATCCCCATGGGCTAAGCATGGCCTCAAAGGCTACATACAAAAAGATCGTCGAATGCCAAGTCTGAGATTGCGCATTGTTGGTGGGGTACTGACAATAATCACAACATACGCGTGGACCATTCAGCACGGTTATGATGCACGGCGCGGCTACTATACAAAAATGGCTGCATTTTCTTTGGGCTGCCGGTCACATGGGTCAAAACTCATACTTGGTGGTTTCATCGCACGGTTGTTGAAAAATATGGTGGCGAAGGCGATGTGCTAGGAAAACACGTTCTCCATAATCACATATATCTGCTTGGAGCCCTACGTCGAACCAAGAATTACTTGTGAATTGTGCCACACACTCGAAGCGTGCGTTGCGAATACGTATTTCTAGCAAAATGGTGAACATACCGTGATGTATCATGACATCGGCGTGCGCCCATCAAGTGACACCGTGCCGAGAGATGTTGAACAGCTGGACCGCGTCATCGTCGAGAACGCATGGTTTTCAACCATCTCTGACATGTGGGGCGATCCCAACTATTCTCTCCAATTGCACCATGTCATACAACATGTGGATCTGAATATCGCAATACCGAAAAACGGACACAAGCAAAGGACTCCGCGACTGGACTTGAAGGCGCTGGGAAATCAGAGCATCAGAGCTGAATGCGTTTCGGAGTTTCTGGATAATTCGCCATACCATCATGCACAAACAACTTTAGAACAAACAACTTCAGCCCTATCCGACTGTATGTTGGAATCTGCGGCCGCAAACATACCAGAACAATCCGCGCCGCGCCTGCGCCCTTGGATATCGGATCACACTATCCCTTTTATAGAAGCGCGGAAGAGGGTACGGAAAAACGGGGGATCAAACAAGGGGCTATTATGAAAAGCGTTTGAACAAGACTATCCGCAACTCTGCCAGGGCTGACAGGAAGCAGTGGCTTACAGAAAGTACTGCGAATAATGGACGACAAGCTGCCAAAGCATTCAGGAAAGGCCCTGCTCGAAAGTGTGGGCGGCTGCAGAACGCAGAAGGACGGATGGTAGATGCTTCTCAGCGGGCCCACGCTATGGCCGACTATTTGGAACAAGTTCAGTGGCGCCCGCCACCATACGCAGGAAACTTCACAAACGAGGCCGGCGAAGGAGATTACGTGGATGTCGGGCCGATCACGTCTGACGGGGTCAAGCGTGCAATTAAACATCTATGGCTGCAGCGAGCAGCGAGCACGGCCAACGTGCCGCCAGAACTTTGGCAGGCACTGCGGGAAAGCGAAGCAACTCTAAACGTTTTGACGTCACTGTTGGCCGCCTGTTGGGAAAAGAAAGATATCCCGGACAATTGGAGAGAAGGTTCAAATGTCACCATTTTCAAGAAAAAACGGCACTTGATCACTATCGAATTACCGACCCATTTCTTTACTCGCCATAGGGTAGAAGGTTCTAGCTGGCATCCTTCTCAACAGACTCAAACGAGGAGGCGCATAAGAAGCTCCGCAGAAATCATATTATGGTTTCAGGCCTCAACGTGGCACCAGCGACGCATTATTTTTGGCACGCAGGCTGATCGACGCGGCACTCGCAGAAAAATATGGTAAGCTATCACTTGTGTTGTTGGACTGGAGCAACGCATTTGATCATATCAACCCTGCACGACTCATACACGCGCTGCAAGAATTTCGAGTTCCACCGGCGATGATCGAGATGATCAAGGGTATCTACAAGACGCGGAAGTTCGCTGTGCAAGACGGGGACACGGTGACGACGCAGAGAACGCAAGCAGCTGGCATCGCTCAAGGGTGCCCGTTGTCATATTTAGTGAATATTGTTATGTCAATCCTTCTGGGAAAGGTTCGCAGACGTTTGGAAGCAGAACACCGAACAGGACAAGCAGACCGTACTTGATCACACAGAGGACGTCCTGTGCGCAGACGACACCATGCTTGTTGCCAGGGAACCAAATGTATTACAAACTCACCTGGAATAATTACGGCTCGGAGCTGAACGCAGGGAAAACTATGTTGCTCAAGATACGATCAAATGAAGATGTCCATGGACCAGATGGCAAAGCTATAGCATGCAAGGAAAGCGCCGTATATTTGGGTGGACTCTTGAGAATGGACGGGAGACCCCGAGCAGAGCTAACACGATGACTTGGAGAAGCCAGTGGTGCATTCAAGACGCTTTGCGTTGTTTGGAGCCGCGCAAACTTGAATAAACTTTACGACCTGTGAGTCCTGGAAACGTGTATTTTGAAAACTGTTGCACGGGCTGGAATAAATGTATGCTTTTACAGGCAGACCAGAACCGGCTCGATGCTTTTCAAGCGAGGTGCTTACGCCAAGTATTCAAAATATTGCCTGCTTACGTATCTCGTGTGAGTAATGCTGAAGTTCGACGAGAGCGTGCGAAAACCCGGCCGTTAACTGCAATTCTAGCGGAAATGCAACTTAAATTGTACGGCAAACTCGCCCAGGACATCACCACCAGCTTACCAAGAGCCATGGATTTTGAAAGTGATCCCATGCATGGGTTGTTGCCTCGGAGGTGGAACGTGCCCCGGTGGAGAGGGAGGCCCCGTCTGCAATGGGCAGCTTATTTGCACGCTGAGGCAGTGTCCGCGGCGCACGACAACCCAGACACATTACAGACTCTGCTGCAGAATCCTTCAGACTGGCGTGAGGCTGTGGCCTGACATTGTGACATGTAGCAATGTGATTTCTTGCTGGTGTCTGATTGCCCCGCCCCTCCCTATCCTTCTCCCTGCCCGCCCTCTCGCTCAAATTGCGCAGCTCCCCCCTCTCACTCCGTTGGGAACAAAGGCTACAACGATGGTTCCCGGAACACTGTGCAATCTTGCGTTTGTTCTGCATGCCGGCACGTGTGCGATCGGTACTTTCGCTTTGTTTGCCAATGCGCCGTGAGGGCGCGGCTTCTGTCTGTCTGTCTGGAGCCTATTTGGAAGGACCGAAAACCATGCCGTGGCAGGGCACTGGAAATAATGACGCCAGCGGTGCAGCGTGAGCACGATTCGGAACGAGCGGAAAAGCGCGGAAATGAGTCTAGCGCTGCAGCGGGACCACAGTTCGGAACGAGCGGAAGCGCGGAAAGGAGGCCAACGCTGCAGCGGGAGCACGATTCGGAACGAGCGGAAGCCCGCAAATGAGGCCAATGATTCAGCGGGAACAACATTTTGAAACAAAAGCCAAGCGAAAACCATCTCCGGTCCGGGAATCCTGTGTTAAAAACAACGCGGAGGGGGGTCGGACATCTTCTGGACGTCATCAGGGGAGAGAGGAGAGTAGTTTCATATTGTGTAATTGTGAAGGCGGAGGGGGAGCCGAGAAGGAGGGGAGGAGGCGGGGAGGACCTCCCGCTGCAAATATCCCACGAGAATCTGGACCGCCAACACTCAGAGACGGGCCAGTCGAAACGCGTCGACAAGCCTGAAGTTCTGGTGACCTCGAGTCTTACGCTTCCCCGATACACGAAGACACGTCAGCAGGAGAAGCAGGCAGATGGAGGGGAACGACAAGGTGGAGGACGATGACCACCGGGGACGAGAGGAAGGACGAGGGGGGGAGGAGGCACAACAGAAGACCATTGCGTTTGGAGACTGGTTCGACAAATCCCACCAGCCCTTCAGGGCGTAAGGTGGTTAAGGTATATTCCTCTTTCATCCCCCCCCTTCTTCCCCTTCGGGGAGGGGTTTGGCCCTCCCCCCTACCCCCTCCCCTGGACCTGGACGGGGGGGTTCGCGAGCGATCAGGGCGTCCAAAACGGCCTCGGCGAGGAAGCCAACATCACTGGCTTTACTAAGGCGTTGGCCCCATTTGCCTGGCTGGAAGAAACTGCGCGACGATAAGACTGGGCCAGCCAGATTAAGGCTTAGGTTTCTGGCCAGCCTGGGGTAGCCCAATGGCCAAGAGGACGATGAAACAGACGACGGGGGAACGTCTGGCATGAAGGACACGGTTCCTGGAATTGTGTTTGCCGTTCTTGTTCGGGTACTGGCGAAAACAACTCGGGAGGAAGTGCTGAACCAGTTTCTCTTAGAGCCCCTTGCCTTCGTGGCCATTCGGAGCACTATCCATACCACCGACGCGGTGATTTGTCACAACGACGTGGGCACCAAGGAATCACGAACCTTTTCCCAAGGAAAAGCTTTCCATCCTGAATCGTTGTTTGATGGTCCTGGGGCCCCGAAGGGCCCCCAGAACCCCAAGATTGTCCAACACCGTCTGTCTTGAATGCTTCCCGTCCCAAGGATCACGAGCGGCGAGCGCCTCCATCTCCACGCCCTCTCGGTCTAGATCCCTGCACGCGATCCCGTGGGTACGCGGCCTCGTGGGCACGTCCCGCGGAGCATCCGCGAAGAAGGACTCCGTGACCACGGGGTCGCGGCCCAGGGTCCGCGAACAAAAAGCTCTCTATTCACGAGGCCGTGGATCTGGATCTGCTCCCCGCCCATGAGTCTTTCACCTCATCTCATCCTGGGGACGCTGACGTCGGCGGAGGGCCAATTGAGACACCGGCTGCCCTCCCACCCAAACCGAATCCGTTCAACATCGGTCCGCACACCCCTCCCAGGGTCGACCCTGAAGCGTTGTCCGAGGCGAGGATCCGGCCGTGGCGACGAGAGGCCTGCAGGAGGGCAAGACTGTGTGGCAAAACGCAGGAGAGGGCCGCCGATATCCTGAGGTACGATTCTGCGGGAAAACTGCTCCTTAGAAGGCGCTGCCCTGCATCTGCAGACAACACCCGCCCATGGCCGAAACAAACCACTGCTCAAGCATGAACTTCCGGCGAGCGCCAGGGCGGCGTCGCGAGGGGTGCCCGGCGCAGATCAGAGAAATCCAAGCGGACCTCCGAAATACGACGCTCATGCCATTTCGTTATTCCTCCGCCGTCGAGCGATGTCCGCCCCCGAGCCAAACCTCTGGGTCGGTGTTGGAGGTCGCCGCGGCGACCGCGGCGGCCACGCATCGGGGCAAGGATTTTGTCAAGGAGTGGCATGCCCGAGCCCCCCTCCCTTCTCTGCGACATGGACGTGGCTCTTGACTTACAATCTAGCGGCAGAGGGTTGCCAACATGTATCCAACATGGGCAGTCCTTTGAGCACCAGGGGTCGATTATCGCGCATCCACACCTGTAAATCTCGGCTGGCCATCCGTCGACCGCTCGAATAGGGGATCGACATCAGAATTGATTTACCCCGGAATGGATTCCCCCGTCGAATCTACGAAGAATGATTACGCAGAATGCCCTGCACGTCCACGGAGCATTCGACATACTTCTGGTAGAAGTCTACGGAGAAGCAGCTTTGGGTTGTACCTCGATTCTGCAGTCGATCCCCTACCCGTACCTCGGGGGCGGCTCAGAGGGGGGCATCCAAGAAAGGGGGGCACAAATCGTGGCCAGCGGCACGTGCGCGGTCCAAGGGGATGGGCCAGGGACGTGTAATGAGATAAGCAGGGGCGCCATGAAATCTGAGGAAATATCATGGCCCACGCCATGATATCCAATCCCCCCCCTAGTCTGGGGAGACAAGAGGTACCGATACTGTTTCTCCCCAGACCTCTCCCAGGGTGCGTTCTGACCAGGACTTCGAGGCGAATCCAGCGGTGGCAACGAGGGTTCCCGAGGAGGCCCACAAGGGGGAAAACGGGGCGAAGGGTAGAGGTATGGGCACCTTTTCCTCTGATTGAGCAGGGATCGACCGTCCCCGCATTCCTATATGCCTACCACAAGATGTTCTTAGAACCCAAGATGTTCTTAGAACCCCCAACATGTTCGAACAACAAAAAAACAATGTTCTTAGAACATAACACCAATGTGCTAAAACGAGACAGTCCCAGCCAGAACTGTTCCAGAAACACTTCTTGGAAACCACACAAGCGGTTCTTAGCACATTGCTTGGCAGGCCTGCAAGAACACCAGGACGCTCCGCCACTGCTTGATCTGATGGCCATCACCCCCCTCTCCTAGAGGCCTCCTCGATGGGGCCGGAGTAGATGGGGTCGGAAGATCGCGCCGCATCGCCGATACATCGGCTATGCATCGGCGATGCATCGGCGATGCATCGTCGACGCGGGCGATGAATCAGCGACGTCGGCGCGCAGGAAAGCGGGCTCCACATCCAGCCGCATCGCCGATGCATCGGCGATGCGGCGCGATCCTCCGACCCCATCTACTCCGACCCCATCTGAGAGACCTAGATCTCCCTGCCGCTCGGGAGCGGCCAAGAGGGGGGTGTCCAAGAGGGGGGGGCGCAAATCATGACCGGCGGCATGTGCGCGGCCCAGCGGGGAGGCCAGGGACGCAACGAAACAAGAAGAGGCGCCACGAGATCTGGGGAAAGATCATGGCCCCCGCCATGATATTCCCCTCCCCCCCCTAGTCATCACCCCCCTCTCTTCCGCCCCCGAGCCGCCCCCGACGCCCGTGCCGCGGCGTCGTGCGCCGGGCCGGGCCGCGGGCCGCAGGCGCCGCGAGCGGCGCCCGGGCCATGCCCCCCGGGCGCCGCTCGCTGCGCCCGGGGGGCCGTGCCCGGGCCATGCCCCCCGGGCCAGGCCCCCCGCCCTCGCGGCCACGAGCGCCACGAGCGGCTCGCTGACCCGGGTCAGCCAGAGGGGGGCTGCGCAGGATCCTGCAGGATCTGGCGCTCTGGCGGACCCCCGTCTGCATCTGACCCCCGTCTCAAGAGGCTCCCGATATCGTGCGCCGGGCCGGGCCGCGGGCCGCAGGCGCCGCGAGCGGCGCCCGGGCCATGCCCCCCGGGCGCCCCAGGTGCAGCGCGCGCGCGGCCGGCGGCCGAGCGCGGGAGGCCCCCTCCGCTGCGTAGCGGCGGGCGGCGGCGGCGGCGTCTCGGGGCGGCGGCGGCGGCGGGGGCGCCGCCGACGGCTGCAACGACTGCGGCGGCTGGGCGGCAGGACGTCGACGGGAGGGATGTGTGCATGATGTGTGTGTGTGTGTGCATGATGTGCGTGTGTGTGCATGATGTGTGCATGATGTGTGTGCGTGTGTGTGCATGATGTGTGTGTGTGTGTGAGACCCAAGGATCCAACGCACTAACAAAGATCACGACGGGGGTGCTTCGCAGCATTCGGCCTCTCTAGGGGCCCTTTGCCGGGCCTCGGGGCCGTCCACACAAACGGCTCAGGATGACAGACCAGTCCTGCCTGGGGAATGGGTCGAGACTTCTGGGGACCCCGTATTGAAAAAATCACGACGTCGGATCTCTGGGGAGAGTGAGTTTGACAGTGAACGTTTCCTCAGTCGGCATTGCGGCCCTGGGCGGAAGGGGGGGGGGGAGGAGGAGGGGCCTCTGCTCAGTGCGGCTGCTTGCAAGGGTGCGTCCTACGGGGGAGACTCCACCTGCCTGAAACAGGCGCCAAAAGCAGCCTATACCTGCTCCAGGCGCGGGGGGGAAGGGGGGCGATGCGAGGGCCCGCGCCGCTCGGCAAGGCAACGAACGAGGCCACGACGACGACTTTGGTACGCACAGGCTCCACCCTGCTGGGCGCCTCCTCGTGCCCATCGGCGTCCCTCGTTGGCCCACAGCGGCCTATCGGCGCCCTCGTGCCCATCGGCGTCCCCTCGTGCCCACAGCGTGCCCGTCGGCGTCCCCTCGCGCCCACAGCGTGCCCATCGCCCTCGTGCCCGAGCGCCCTATCGGACGCCCGTCGGCGCCTCGTTGGCCCACAGCGGCCCTCACCGCACAGCACAGCCCCGCCCTGACCTTCCAGGAGGGCTAAAAAATAGCACCCGACTTGAAAACCTATCCCAAAGCTGTTCTACGTCTTGGTTTTAGGCTTCTTCGCTCGGCTTTTTTTAGGCTTTTAGGTCTCCAGAGCTAAAACATAGCTCTCTGGAAGGTCAGGGCGCAGGGTGGGGAGGAGGGCCGGGGCGCGGCGGCTCGGCGCCGCCGGCTGCCGGGCGGGCCGCGGCGAGCCCGTGGAGGCGCGGCGCGGCGCCGTCGCGACGCCGCCCGGTGCCGACGGGGCGCCGGCGGGCGCCGCGGGCGACGGCCATCGCGGCGGCGGCGGTCGCCGAGCTGCCACGCCGAGCGCCGAGCAGAAGGGAGCGAGGGCGCCGGCCACGGGCGAGCCTCGGCCACGAGCGGGGGGTCCCCCGACCCTCCTCCTCCTCCTCCTCCTCCTCCTCGCCATCCTCCTCCTCCTCCTCTCCCATCCCTCCTCCCCTCCTCCTCCTCCTCTCCTCCTCCTCCTCCTCCTCCTCCCCCATCCTCCTCCTCCTCCTCCTCCTCCTCCTCCTCTTCTCCTCCTCCCCCATCCTCCTCCTCCTCCGGTTCCTCCTCCTCATCCTCCTCCTCCTCCTCCGCCTCCCCCATCCTCCTCCTCCTCCTCCGGGTCCCCCGGCCCGTGTGCCCGAGGAGCCGCCCGAGGGCCGGGCCCCCCTCCCGAGGCCGAGGTGGTCGGTGCTTCGGCGTCTCAGGTCGCACAGGCGACGACGACGGATCCGCGGCCTAACGACCCCGCTCCGAGGATAGTCAAAGCATGGACAGGTCGACTGTGGCCCTTTGACCTCTTGGAGCTAAAGATGAGGACGGAAGAGGGAGGAGGGATCCGGATGGGATGTATTCCTCCTCCTCCTCCTCCTTCCCCTCCCACCTGTGATCCCCTCCCTCCTACCTCCTCCCCCCTCGTCCCTCTCCCTTCCCTCCAGTCCTCCTTGCCGCATCGCTCTCTCCTTCCGTATCCCTCCCGCACTCCCTCCCTCTACTTTCCTGAATTACCCCTTGAACCCTCTACCATCTGAAAGTCCCTCGTCTGCGGCATGGACGAAGGAAACAAGAGGGACCGGCATGGACGACGGGGGAGGACGAAGAGCGAGGGTGGAGTGGGGAGGAGGAGGGAGAAGCAGGAGGATGGCGAAGATGTGAAGGGGCAGAGCTGGAGAGGGGAGAGGATGTGGCACGAGGAGGAGCTGGACGGAAGACGGAGGCGTCGGCGGACCCGGGCGAGGAGGGGGAGCGGGCACAGAGATGGCAGAGAGTGGGGGACGCGGCTGTGGCGTCCCGCGCGGACGCACGCGCGGCGGATGCGGTGCCCCCCTGAAGGGGCCCTGGGACACACAAGTAACTAGACACGAATAAGAGGATCCCCCAAATCTTCTGACATGTTTGAGGTGTTTGTCTCCTCCCCCACTTCCCATAGTTTCCCAGATGTTCTTGGGAATCGACGATTCATTGTGCCTGTGCGTGTTTTTTCCCCTCCTGACCCCCACGCGGACGTGGAGGGCAGGGAGCCGCACAGGCAGACGCATGTCAAGGGAGCCAGCCCCTGGAGATCCGTGGCCAAGATCGGCCGTCCTTCGGAGGTTGGCAGAACATGAGCCTGCAGGTTGGCAGAAGATCGAAGATGAGCCTCGCCCAACTTGCCAATCGCTCGAACGCCCATTCCCCGTGCATTTTTCCATGTCGTGCGTGCCTTCCCACCAGATGATCACAAGATGCTCCTTGATGGTCTTCGCGGCAACCAAAAAAACGCACACGTCCGAGCGATGCCAAGTCCTGGCCCCCATGTATCCTCCAGCGCCTCGAGCCGTTCTGAAGCCCCCCCCCCCGGGGCCCTCTGGGACTCGTGATGGGGTGCTCCAAATATGCCATCTGGGCCTCCCCGGGGCAACGCTGTGGTCACCTTGGGCCTGTCCCTCTACGGGAGGAAAAATAAAAAATTGGAACACAATAGTCAGGGGACCATTTTTGAATATGTTCGAACATTGTTGGAATATGTTTACAGGTATGTTGAGTTTTTCGTCCAACGTCCCCGTGTAGGGGGGCAGGCCCGACCTAAGACCAGGGTCGCCTCTGGCAACACCCGAATCCTCACGCCAGCAGAACTCTTCGGCGGCGAGCGGGGGAGGGAAATGAGAAGGAAAAGGCCTTTTCAAAGGCGGCGGGACTTCTCAGAAGCCCCTCGCGCCTTCTGAAAAGTTCCCTGCGTTTTCGGTGAAGGCTCAGAAAATTTCACGTAAGGCTAGGGAACTTCGGACACTTCTGAAAAAGGCTGGCCCCTTCTCGCTCCACCCCTGGGCTCGCCACCGCCTGGATGGGGGCGGTCATTGCTGACGTGAGGGGGGGAGATCAACAGGATGCTCCGCGACGGCGCCCAGACGAGGCACGCATCACAATACCTGCACTGGCTTCGTGGCTTCGTAGGCTTCACTGCATGCGAAGCATGTCTTCCCCTTCTCAGCCTCGCCCCCCCGGGATGTGGTGTTCCTCCCCTGATCCGACAATGTGGGCTCTAGCGGGCACTCCCGCGAACAAAGGCGGATATGCATTCCCCTGCACGTCCCGCTGCGAGTGCCTGAGTGAGAGAACCCCGCGCAAGTGGCGATTGAGCGCTCTCTAGCGACGCCCCGTTGGGGTGCCAAAACGTTGCGCCTGCTACGTATGGGCTCAACGTGGGGGAAACGGGCCCTGAGGGGAACGGGTCTTTGATCCCGGGGCCTTCCTCCAAGACGAATTATTAGCCCTGAATTGTTTTCTGGCAGCCTTGAGGCCAGTGGAGGATCCCGGGAACCTTCGGATTCGCTCCCCTCATGGCGACCCCTTGGCGCGCCCAGGTGCTAATCCAAAAGCCGCATTAAAGCGATCGTTTGTTTTTCGCCCCCCCCCCCCCCCCCCTCTGTCACAGAGGGGCCCTAAGATGGCCTCCCTCTGTCGCGGAGGAGCTCGTTCTGGGTGCTCGTCTGCCGCGGGAGCTCCCGATACGATTGGAGACGATAAAATGCGATGGCGGGATGGGGGATTGGAGGGGGGGGGGGGGAAGAAAACGATGAAGGAGAAGAGGCAACGACAACACCGATGAAAACACCGTTTATTTTTCCTTTTCCGCTCGGAGAGCGGTCGCCGACCACGACGGCGCGCGCGACTCGCCGCCGCTCACGATGCACTGGCAAGGCCTCCGCTGCTGCGGAGAGGGCGACCTTCGACTGATGAGGCCTCCCTCCGTTGCTGCGGGGGGGCGGCCCCTGTGCGATGGTTCAGCTAAGTTCGCCCCAGGGATTGGTCTCGGGGGGGTGTTCGGCCCACCTCCAGGCGGTCGTGGTCGAGGCCGCCACTCCGCCCGCTGCGGCTGATCCACCAGCCACTGGGGCGCGGGTCGCCGCGCCACTTCGGCGCAGTTGGGTCTTCTTTCGCGTTGCGCCGCCATTTCAACGCTTGGTTGCGTTGCTTAAACGAAGTGCCGAGCCTCTCTTCATAACTCAAAACAGAATCGACATCGAACTTGGCAGAGTCCCGGGGCCCGCGCGCCGCCGCCGCTGCGGTGGCGCGGGGCTCCTGCGCCGCAGGCGCGGCTCGGGATCCCGACCCCTGTCCTGGAACTGTGCCCCCAGGTTCTGGTGAGTTTCGGAAGGCAATCCTCACGAAATTATCGAATTCGGGCATGCCGGGACCAGGGGCGCGGGGGCTCACGACGCCAAGCGCGGCGAAGCGATACGGCCTTTGAGACGCGACCGCCGCCGCTGCTGCGGCGGCAGGGCCATCGCGCCAGTTGGCGTCTTCCGTTGGCGTGTGCCCGTCTTGTCGCCACTCTCTCCAGCCCCGCGCTGACCCATCATGGCCGTCCCCCCAGCCACGCCAGCCGCTGCTGCGGCTGGCCCACCACCCTTTCGCACCACCCCACATGTATCCGCCTGCGTCGCCCATTGCAAGACGATCGCGCAGGCGCGCGTTAGGCCGCGAGCGGCCCGGCTGCGCCGTTGCTCGCGGGCGATCCCGCGGGCGCGGGATGGTTTGAACATAGCGGCGAGGGACGACGCGATGTGATTGGACGGCAGAGAGGTTGAAAAAAAGGGGGGTGGAAA